TAAAATAAATAATCGTTTATGTAACCTAACTTAACCATTCCAGTCTATTGACGGTTAATATTTTTTTGAATTAAAACATAATACATTATAACTAAAAACGTGATTTTTTGTTAATTATTAACTGATCAGTACTATTCTGAGATTAGTGAGATTACTACATTTTATCAATTTAGGTATATATCTTCTTTAAACCTATGTTCTATTAAGGATTAATAGGTACTTATTTAAATATGGGTAAAGGTAATTTCTTTAAGCTCACTCATCTAATTCTTATATGTTTAAATTATACATTTATTTAGTTTAATAATAATATATAAACACAAAAAACATTGATAAAAAGCAAATAGACCAATACAATAAATTTTAAACATTGCCAATAATAGAAGTTGAAGCGTAACTGTCTACGCTCATTATAGAAGGGACATATAAATAGTAAATAGATGTAAGTGATGACAGTGACGTGGAGTATATTTTACATTGAATGGCGGCTTGCGATTTGTTTTTGTTATATTATTAAAATTACGTTTTTACGTTGCACGAGCCTTATCTAGATTTCCAAAGATTACGAAATGTCAATTAAGGGAAGAGCTGATTTACTAAGAAAAACTTAAAATTAAATGTTGTGAATAAAATAATTTAGTGCAAATTCATGGTAATTACGTGCTAAATATATTTTTGCGAAAAAGGAGGGTTTCAATTGTTTCTATAATAGACCAAGCTGATGAAACGTAGGTACATATAATCATCGCGGGAAACAGTCAAGCCTTCACCGAACCGGAAATGATCAAAATGTACATTATGATATTTTATAATATTATGTTAATCTTTTTTTTTTAATTATCTTGATAATATGTAAGATGTTGCAGGTTAATCGATTTTATTGTTATTTATGTAACATTTTATTTTAATCGAACTATCACATAATTATCATTAACACAATATTAATCTACCTACTTAAATCATGATATTTATTATTTAGTTATTGTGTTAGACAGGAATATCACAACATAACTTTAACTAAATATTTTAATGTTTTTTTTTTGAAAAGTATTTTTTTAAGGTTCGAGATCTAGATATATCAATAATTAGAGGTCCATCAGATTTGTAATAGTTACGCACGGAAATTGAACATTATGTTTCGACGTTTTGTTTTGGTTGATGACGAAAACTAAATGATTGTAACGTCAATTTCGTACGTTTATGTGATTTAAGATGCATTTTAATTTATTATTCAAGTCATTTAGTTTAATTTCTCAGAACAAACGAGTTGTTAAATTGGTATTTTATATAGATGATACAAGTTAACACAATTTAGCATAGTAAATAATTTATAATAAAGTTTGTATATATATTCAATTAATAGATGAAAATATTTTAAAACCTGCATTGAATACCTTTATCAATATTTAAACATCAAACTTTATAATATGTCTTTTTCAAAAAAAAAAAGTTTTTTACAAATTATTTTATATTGTTTTTTGAAATAAAAGTCAGAATTGAATGCAGTTTCTAAAAATAATTTTTTCTAAATAAAAAATAATTTAAAAAACCCAAAATTATTCTTTAAGGATTAATAATTTTTCCTATGAAGAAATTTTTTTTGATGTAACACATTGTATCAATTGACCCACCTTCTCTTCTTAATGAGTATCGAACAATCGAATAATAAATTAATGAAAAAATAATATGTATCTATAATAATTAAAATGGCAGTTAACATTCAAAATATTTTTTTCAAATTTAATAAAATTGCGGTAAATTTAGAAAATTGACATTGGACCCCTTAACATAATTATTTAATACGATATTATGTAATTTTATCATAATTAATATTAAATTATTTTTTATAAGAGTTTAGTGTTATATAGCTATTATTTATTCATACACGGTAAAGAACTGTAGCAACGATTATAGTCTATTACAAATTAGGTACTTTGTTTATAAAGCATCATGTACATTTTGAAGTTATTGATATGGATTTTTAGCTTTATAGGTATAGATAATACGTAGATACTCGTATATAAGAAAAAACCTTGACCATTTGAATTAACTGCAACAACCTAATGTAAAGTTAATTTTGTATCCAATTTAACGTCAATAATTGCATTTAACTATTCTTCACATTTTTAATATTATTACCATTCATCACCATATAATAGCCGATACTACTCTTTAATTAGTCTATGTTTATTACCTAACCTAAATAAATTACTTACATTTTTTTTTCGCGCAATAATACGCGTGGTCTTTAATGTTATCGAACATGTCTTTGTGACATATTACATTTATAAACTATGTGATCAAAAAAATATTCCTGTATTATAAAATGTGCATATTTAATACACCGTGAGTTTCTTGTAAAACCTATAGCAATCTGATCATCAAATTTCGTAAATCTTCGAGCGATATTGCACTAGTGAGTAGTGACTATATCATTTGTCTTGTAGTTCTGTAATCATACATATCGTACGGTACCTATAATAACATGTATAATAGTACCGTTTGTCCGCGTGTGAATATTACGCACCACAGACTACGAGATTCACGAAGGTCGATAAACCACGGTTCCGGCGGCTTAAAGTAGAAATACTACCAAAAGTATCGCGGAAAATTTGCGTCTATATTCTAGCAATGTTTTGTAATTGTTTACTGCATAATTTGGTCTTGTTTCTGGAAAGGGGAGATGCAATTTTTGGGGATATCTAACTTATTATTTTATTGTAACATGTATAAATTTAAATTTAATTATAACATTTTTTTTTTCTAGGAAAAACGCTTTGAAACAATACTCTCTGTGTTTAATATTTATTTTATTTAAATTTTTTTTTTTATTTAAACTTTGTTATTTACAATTAGTTTTAACAGTTTTTATTTTAATTAAAATTATATTATTTATTGATAATTTCAATAAAAATGTTATCACTACTTATGGCAATACAAATAAAGAATAATGTGATTAATAATCATTGATTTTGTGATATTCTAAGATATAAAAATATAAAACAAATGTAAATAGCATTAAATAAATACGTTTCATTTAATAAGTTAGTATGATATTTGTATCAAATTTTAATTTTAAGATAATTTTTATCATTATTTTGAGAATTTTAGGATTCAGATTATTATTAGCATTAAAATCCGGTTTTAAATTTAAGATTTTACTTAAAAAATTAATTTTATACCGTGCTAAAAAAGTTCTTATCAAATGGAATATTGTGAATCATAATTTTTCAAAGGAATCAGTACCTACAATATAAAAATGGAGATCCGAGTAGTGAAAGAAAATTAGATGAGAATACATTTTTCTTTTTAAAAAATTCACGCAAAAGGCTTGATATTTTTTAGTCCTACAAAAACTTTTCTTTTGAATTAAAAAAAATAATATTGAGAATATTTTTGGTTATTATAGGGCTTTATATTTCCAACCCCAGTTTTGAGTTTGTAAAACGATCGGATTTTCTACACGTTTGGCTGCAGTCGACAGTCGCCGATGGTCTAGCAGTAGGTATTTGCGACAGCTATACGACAGCGTTATTCTGTAATCTGTACTTATGTCCGCATCAGATTTTCCCAGTTCAAATAGTAGGTACCAATGAACAGAAAATGCTTGTATTTACGAGTATAGTCAAGGTAGGTACCTATGCAGTATTGGTTGTTATACTTAGGTCGAATTGTATTATGGTAGGTATTACACCTATAGCCTATAGGTTATAATTAGGGCACGGATGTTGTAGTAGTAAAAAACTACTGAAATTGATTGCAGTATTGCACTAAAAAATACCGAAAATTGCACTTAAAATATTAAAAATTGCACTAAAAATTACAACGTTTTGTTATAATTTGTAGATGTTTTATTTTAATTCTACCAAAAAATATATTTTTTACATTTTATAATAATAAATATTAATTAATAATCTATACGTATTCTAAACATATTAAATATTTTAAATTTTAAACCTTATTGCATTGGACTATAAGTGTTTGTTTTAAATTTTCGAATTCGAACGCTCTTTGATTTGGAGCCAATAAGTTCTTATACCTCGAAAAACTTCGTTCTACGTCGGTTGATGTAAGTGGAGCGTTTCTATATACTGGAAATATTTAAGTATTATCTTATCTATACGACTGTCGAGTTTCGAATATAGCTAAAATGGTTGTATAAATGATTAAATTCAACAAAATCGCAATAAAATTCCAAATATTCCAAAAATTGCAAAAAAAATTGCACTTAAAACTTTTAGATTTGAATTCGTACTTACATGAAACGCATTTAAAACTTACTTAGCAATACATTGGAAAGGTAGAAGAAAAGTTGCAAATGCAACAACATCCGTGCCCTAGTTATAATACTGTAATATATTATACGGCATACGCAGACGACGATGCAGGTAATACTTTGCTGCGTATATCCGGCGCACGCATGCGTAGTATACTTATATGATTTTTAAATTCATATAGGTACCTACCTGGTACCTGCGTATGTTTTTAATTCATATGATATTAATATATAACAATTGCGTTCGCTTTTCTTCGGCCATAGCCGTCGGTATATTCAGATAATATTTTAATGTTCGTAAATTATGTTTTTACGGTGGACACGAACATTACGAAAACGACAGACCCGCAGCAGCAATAGACCGGTAATTATCATCCGGCAGTGCAGAATATTATGATGTGCAGTGTGCTGTGCCGCTGTATCGAGCGGACGCGCGGGCCTCCGAGGAAACGGCCAAGACGAAGAAATGACGACCGTCGAGGCCACCATGCCACCTGAACCGTTACGGTAATGCCCGCTCGTCGTCGTCTTAGTTCTATAAGTCTTGGTAGTATAATATATAATATATATATATATATATATATATATATGTATATATATATACATGTACGTTCTCTATTAGTGTTTTATTCACACACACACACACACACACACACGAATTAATTGCGAGTATTAGCATTGCCTCAAAGTCTGTGCTTGTACATCGCAGAAACAGTACGTCGCCGGCGATCGCTCGTTCACCATATTGTATAATAATATAGTTGTCCGTCCGGATATATTTTTCGTGCATCTTTGTCGTCATCATCATGTACGTCAAGCGGCTGCGAAATGTAAGTGTTATTATAATTGTAATATGTATTTGATATCTACGTAACGTTATTATATGGTTAATTTGTATTATTGGTCGTACAATACAAATAACGAGAGGGAATCTTACGATGAAAACCTGTCATCAGGGGTCGTCAACATGTTATATACTTGAATAAATAGTGGTCGATCGGTTGATACTAAAATATTTTAATGTAGTTCACTTGTTGAAAAAGGTTGGTTACTTCTGCTGTAGATGGTCCAATCGTTATTTGTAATGGGCTATCCTATCTCGGGGCTTAGGATCTAAGGTTTTCTGAATAAGTTTACTAAAGAGGATTTTTTTAAGTCTTACTTAAATTTGGAAATCAGGAATTGAAAATTTCTAAATCTGGATTAGAGTGTTTTTTTTAAAAATATTTTTTGATAAGAATTCTTTTTGTTTTGAAAAATAAAAATATTTGCCTACTTTGCTAGTGGATTCGACTTTAGGGCGCCTTCTCATTAACTGAGAAATTGCATTCCCTGTATTATACCTCTTCATAAAACTATCTTTATAATATTTTGATCTACACCGTTTAATACGTTAACTTTAGAACTTGTTAATTTAAAATACTATTATTATTATTATTATAAAGAATATTTACAATCTATGCTACAAACCATAATAAGTAAATTAGAAAATTAAAAGAATACACAACATAGATAAACACGAGAAGGGAAGCCATCCAATAATAGAACCCAGGATATTTTAAGATATTTATATTTTTTTTTTTTATTGTTTTCTATTTGAAAAAATATTAATGAACTGATTTTTTGCTAAATTGTTTTATTAAAAATTTAATTTTATTATTCTAAAAAAATATTATTATCTACAAATTATGTAGACTATTTAGCATTCTTTTATACTAATATAATATTCCAACTAATACTTGATCATCATTAAATATCGAGGAATGAGAGATGAGGTCTTTTATGTCCAGTACTGATTAATTACCTAACCTTAACCTAACTGATCAATCTTTTTGTTTGGTTGCAGAAGATATCGTTTTCATACATTATAATTTATAATAGTTTAAGTAAAGACAAAACTATATCTACACATTAATAGAAATCATTATTACGTGTAATTTATTTAACGCGAATAATATTCTACCCTTATAACAACAACGGGGGTTTTTTTTTTTACAAAAACATTATAAGTGATAAAAATTAAATGTATACATTATTTAATTAAATATTTAAACAGAACTCGATAGATAGTTATATAGATCATGCATAACAGCGGTACCGATTAATATACTATCTACATGTATACAATCGACTGAATCTTTCACGATTTTTCTTAAAACTGGATATGAAATTTTTTATTATATTATTATAGTAGGGTTGCCAGATTTTTAAATCACAAAACCGGGACATCATATTGAATAACCTTTTTTTTTTAGTCTTAAGTTTGGTGACCGGCCGGGACCCGGGATATGCTGTTAAAACCGGGATAAATGGCAAGACAGTATTAAAGTTTTTGAAATGTTTATTCTAAATTGTGTTTTAAAATGTCTGATTAGATATGTGATAGTAAGTAGTAGAAATTAAGATAGGAATTAGAATGCATAATATATTAAATTTAATTATATAATAGTATTTGCATACATATGGGGGTGCTAAATATGTACATACGAAAATAGTCATTGACATTTACGTCATCCGAAATGAATACCAAAGTCCTGTAGTTTTGTATACAATATACAAGTTATTATAAGTTGTAGTTGGATTTGAAGTTTCTTTTAGTCAAACTTATAATGTGCTTTGTATTTGTTTTGTTCTTACGATGGAACTTGAAAAGACGTTACGAGTAATTTAGATTCCAACCTATTGAATGACATTTAGAATAATATATTATACTAAATTGTATTATGTAATAAAATTGAGTACTTAGATATAGTATAAACGAAGGCATTAACGGTGATCGGTTACTAAATATTTTCATCACGCAAATAATATTATATAATGTAATCTATCAAACATTCAAGCCTATTTTTTCTTCAATATAGTAATGAATTTGTACAAATTTTGATTTTTGTTATTTTATAGGTATACATAAGAATCATACATATTATCATTTTTATATTAACATTTAAAGGGTGATAAAAACTTGATTTTTCGAACAATAACCAAACCTTGTCATTGTAAATTGTTAAACAGATGATTTTTTTGAAAATTGTGTATTAAAATATTAAAATTTGGACGAGTAAATAGTTTCTAAGTCATTTTAATGTGTAAACAGTGATCATAATTGGTGAAGCATCTCTTATACGAAATGAAATGAAAATAATGAATGATAAAATAATGCGGTACTACGATGTCAAGACGTCAAATATCCAAATTACTCATTAAGTATTATTTTCTTATTATTTTTGTATGATAACGTTTTCTTCGGAAAACGGCAAATACAAGAACAGCCATACATAATAATTACCAAATTCTGTTACTTCACTTTGATTTGTTTAGCGTTTCCGATCATAATTTTATTTATTTTTTAAATGATATGTATTAATATTAATTTACACATTATTTTGATTTGATTTTATAACCGTTGCTTTGACAATGGGTTGAGAAGACCAAATATCTTAGTAGAAATATTTAATATTATTTGATGTTGATACATTATGTATAATTTATGCATTTTATAATAGAAAACTGCGATTTTACTCAAATTAAGTTGTTTTGTGTACACGTTTACAATTTATCCTCTACTCATATTAGATCAAGTAAAATTTTTCACAAATTTAGTTTTAGATTGGATTTTTAAATTAAATTTTTAGTTATAACTTAAAAAAATTCTAACTTTCTCAAATTTTTATTTATTCAATTTATACACATTTTAAAATGCTAATAATATTATCAATGTTAATATTAATTATCAATCACATTAGTATTCTAATTATCATGACCATCATTATATTTAAACTTATTATTATAGACTAGTACACAAAGTTAAATAATTATGAATTCAGAAACTATCTACTCGTCCGATTTCGATTGATATACTTTAACATTAAAAAAAAACCAACTTCTTATAAATGTACAGAAAAAAAGTGCAGATTTTCATTGAAAATAGAAAAATGCGTAGCTTAGAAATTAGGATACACCCTAAATGGTATACAAAATAAAATATTTGAAAAAAACAGGAATAAAAGTCCAAACATTTAAAATTTGTATAAATGTAATATTAAAGGAAAAAATCTGTAAGATTTTATCAAAATAAATAAAGTATCTTGGAGATAATTTAAATTTGTCTTCATAATCTCTATAATTCTATTGCATAGTTATTTTTGATTATTTACATTAAACAATTAAAGTGGTGTGTAGGTATCTGTATTGTGTAGTTACGTAGATTCGATTGTGACCTTTCAGTTCAGTATGCCAGATAAGATTGTGATGAAAATAGATTTATCAAGTCGTTTTTGTACACCATATTTTAAATTCTGAGTATGCCAATAGGATGTATTGGTTTAAAAATAAATGATTTTTTTTTTCGTGTCTTAAGTTACTTGAAAAATTATTTAATCTTTGATTTAAAAAATGATTATAGGTAAAAATTGGATCTATTTCCCAACCACACTTTTAAATTTATTTTATTTTAATCAACGAACATCCACTTGATTAGTAGAAAATATCAAATCAAAGAGTTGGGACACTCGATTTTCAGATAGATTTTATCTACAATAATATGATGTAACACTTTTATGCTAATTGAATAGTTATAAATTATAATATTTCTTTTTAAAAATATTAACTGCGAATTCTTAAAAAATTAACTATTTAAATAACATACACATTACAAAAACAAACGTTTTATTATTTTTGCATGCCAATTCCATCAGTTAACCTCTAAAATTATAAAATATAAACGCAACAATTTATATTATTTATAGGTATGCAACGCAAATTTCAGACACAGTATGTTCGCATAAAATAACCATAGCAAAAACAATAACCAAGAATGTTAGCAGTTTGAATTCAAATTATTTGTTCTTATTATTAACTCCGTTGTTCCGAAATTTTTTAACATCATAATATGCAATAGAACCATGCATTATAATAAATTCAAATTAGCGTCTATATAGACACCGTGTTGAGCAATCAGTATGATATAAAGCATCTTTAATTATTTAATATTTTCATGAGAGGAAAAACTACATTTACAAAATATAACTTGAAAATAACTCCAGTATTTTAACAATAACAATATATTGATATTTGATACATTACAATCAATAATTAATTTTTAAAAGAAATAAATATAGTGTATATATACTACAATAATAATTAGTCATTAGTCAGTTTTTAAGACATATAAACAGTGATTTTATTACAGAATATATAAATATATTGATAACCCTAGAATAATTAATAATTTACAGGTAGAAAATTTATAATTATTTATTAACCGTTAACTACCCATTCTATGACCCAGCTTTATCAACTTCAACTTTTACACATTTATATATTACTATAGTTATCTCTGTACACTCTGTTGCCGTACAAAATGTACATCCATGTTAGATTTGGTTGCCTAATGCTAACATTTATCGTAACGCATATAGATAAATAGTATTTTTGGTTTTCTGATTTAGTATATATGTGGATGATATTTCTGTCATATAAATTTTACATAGCTGTCCCACTCAATGTTACTTTTTTTTACCATTTAACAGTGCCATTTTTTTTTAAAATTATTTTTCCTTTCTACCTTTTTTTTTTTTTTTTTGATTACTTCATTACTCAAGTTCTCTTTTCATTCGGGACTAAAAACCATTAACTAATAAAGTTTCAATAGTGTGAACCAAAAACAAAAAAAAAAGTTTTGCACTTTTAAACTACATCAACTATTCACTAAACTACTAATTTATAATAATAACTTATAATTGAGAACACAGATGAAAAATATCTTTATATACGTATTTGATGATTATTTAAAAAATAAATAACTCGAATTTTCATTTACTTATAGGTAGAA